TTTTTTTTGTTTTTGGGGGGGGGGGGGGGTGATGTGCTTGCTTCAGTGCGAAACAAAGGCACTGACATCAATAAAAACACTTCCAGAAGTTTTAACCTTTCTTTACTAAAAATGTGGTTTTGCCAGTGTCCACGTTGGACTTTCTGTCCTATTGTTTTCTGTCCTGACAGGAAGTGAGGGAAAATCCCCCAAATAAGGGCACAGAGGGCAATAAAAACTTGACAGAAGATCTGTGCCAGAGGTAGCCAATCTTAGTCCCTTCAGCGGTGTTGAAGCTAAAAATCCATCATCCATCTATGGAGTCTTGCAATGTCCAATAGGATTTGTAGTTTTTCCGCAGCTGGGGTGCTGGAGTTTGGCTACCCTTGCGCTATGTCTTCTCTGCTCTAGCCAAATAATAAAAAATGTTTTGTCTGTAGTTGGACTTTAATCTGCTTCAAAACACAAGATATGGCACTACCTACTGTATTACAGGTAAAGTTCTCTCACCTTCCAAACTGGATCCAACCAGACTTTATTCTTTCTTGACAAATGTTTTGAAGACCACACAAGGAAGTGTGGAAATGAGGAGGTGCTGCTAATGGAATCCAGGTGGCAGGTCTTTCAGAATAATGGCTGCTTGCTTGCATCACCAGACCTACAGCAATCCTCCAGCCAACTCATCCTGCATGGTTAAAGGTTTCTTCACTTTCTCTGTAGAATGATGGCAAACAATCACGCAGGTATTTTCAAACACTTTGGAAGATTCCCATGTGTGATAATGAGCACAGCAGTGCTTGTTATCTGCTCCTTACCGCTACAATTCATGACAGTGACAGGCAATGTAAGAATTTGGTCGTATCATTAGCTTTAATTGGGATACATATGAAAACCCTTAGAAAATGAAGATCTGCTTTCTATAGACATCATTGTTTTTCCTCTTCTTTAATGGCCGAGCTGGCCGACAATGAGGAAATTGGTGACATGATCGGATCTTCAGACAGATCTTTCCATTTCAGATGGTTAGGGAAAGTTTACAATTTTTAGAGCCCACAAAGGAGGGATCACCCTGCCCCTAATATTGCCTTGACAGGCTGAAGTCTTTCTCTTTGCAGTCAAACTTTTGTTGTCATAGACCAAGGAGAATAGTCCATACATTCTGATTGTAACCACTACAGGAGGGAAAGCCTATTATTTTAAATTATTATAAATAAATCATTTGTATGATTGTATAATAGATTGTCCATGGTAATGTATGAAGAACTCACTTGAGCTGGTAACAATGGGCGATCATCTGCTAAACCAAGCATGACCTGTCATGGCCATGCCTGGGATTGGGGTAGATCTTTCTGCCAAGTTCCTAGAGAGCTGTAAGAACCCAGCAGATAATTATATTCTATGTAGGTGTCACAATATCCGGAAATCCGTGCCAGATTGTTGCTTTGCTCTCTGGTTCTGGGCTGTCAGCTTATGGTGTCTCACAAGGCTGCAGCCAATCTGATCTCCTACTCCCCTATTTAGGACTTCCTCACTTGTTGCTCTTGGTGCGAGCAACAAGTCTTATGCCTTGTTCCGTACCCCTTGTGGCTCTAACTATCCCTGGGATCTTATTTCCTGCGCTTGCTATTGGATCCTTGTGCCTTTGGCTTCCCTGTACCAGCTGGTATCCCTGTTTGGCGTTATCCCCTGCTTTGCTCCTTGCGCCCCCACTATAGTAATTCAGTGGTTACCTTTAGTATATTGCTGCAGACTAGCGATGCACCGATAATCGGCAATTAGGTTTATAAAAAAGAAAAAAAAATCACTACTGCTTGCTATTCTATTTGGATGAGGCAAAGCATGGATGAGGCAGAGCACATGTTCAGACCAGAACACTGTAGTGCATAATGCATTGCATATAGTGTGGAACAGTTATATTTATTTCTGCATACCTGGCTGTATATTACATTTTTTAATGTATAATATACAGCCAGGAATGCAGAATTAGCTATAACTGTGCCACACTACAGGTGTGTATCTGTCACCACTTTTACTTCTGTGCTTCTCTCTTACCTTGTGGCTGTGTTGGATTCGTCCTTGTCTGCACACCCCTTGTGTGCATACATCTCTTTGTGCTTCTTTATGTACTTTCCTCTCTGTTATCCTGCTTCTTTGTATGCATGTGCAACGCACATCTCCTGCTTACTTTTGTACGTTACACCTTCCTGCTCCTAGGTGTGTTTGTAAGCTACTTACCCTTCCCGAGTGTCCTTGTTTAGCTACCCTCTTCAGTATACTCTGCTGTTCGTTTTGCACCTTTTGCTTGTGACTTTCTTTTTCTCTCATTGTGTGCCACTGTTCCTATCTTCCTCCTCTTGGTTACTAGTTTCTTCCCTACCTGTTGTTTGTATCCAGTTCCCCGGTGCTTCGACTAGTCCTTTGCCTCTGTGTGGGTGCGCTAGAGGGCCGCAACCTGGAAGGTGTCCAGCAGCCAATCATCCTCACCACTAGAGGCTCTGTCGAATACCTGGCCCTTCTTAGATTCTGCGCCTCTAGTGCGTCCTGAGAACGCACAGACCATTAGTTCCTCTCTCGCTGTGACCAACATCCCAGATATCCCTCCTGCCTGTGACTCCTACCAACTCCTCAAACCCCGGAGCTCACATACCCCAGTGCCCCGGTCCCCAGACCGTGACAGTAGGGATGAGGGAACTAGGTAAAATTCAGTTTGTAGGAAGTTTGGCGAATCCAGCAAAACATTCGCTACACCCAAACATAGCACCAAACCCTACTGAAGTCTGTGGGAGCAGAATCGTATTCTCTTCTGGCCTTTTTAAGGCCAGTTTGCAAGCTTTGTTAAAACATGGCATGGGAAGCTAGGGAAATGTACCAATGCAAAAAAATGTTTTAAAAAAGAAACTGTTTAGTGATGAAAGGGTCTTTTAATGGGACTTAAAGGGCAACCTTAAAAATACACAAATCCTTTAAATAACATGCTTTGGGGATGGCTTAAAGTTGACATTGCAGGGTAGTACAATGTACAAACAGTGGCCAGGAATCTGCCATTCAGCGGTGGAAGCACTACCACTGCTAAACAACAGATCCCCGCCAGCTTCTGTTTGTAAATAAGGGCCGGGGATTCTGGGTGAAGTCATTGAGCAAATATGGTCATGTTTATCCCCAACTGGTTTGTAACATACAGTATATCAGTCGGTCGGGA